CTGAACTGTTTTCAGCTAAAAGATCAAAAGGTTCTGTATTAATCTAGTATGAAAAATGGTTTCCAAAATACCCTTTAATGTATGCACAAAGGCAAGTTCCAGATGAGGAACATGTCAAAAAACTCACATGCCCTCTCTCCTGGTTAGGTTATGATGATGTGCTTACAGGGAGAATAAATCAGTTGATTGAAGAAAACAAGTAAGAACTCTCACAAGAGCAGGCTACCTGCTAACAATTATTTGTCCCCCTCCCCTCAAAATTAGAAATGTAAATCCTATGAAGTATTTAAAGGAAGTCTCTGTGAAAATGCTGCATCACAGAATAACATGCTTACATAGGTCACAGATATGCAGCAAGACTTCAATGATGCAATCACCAGCAATACTGATTATAAGTAAACTTACTTAGCATACAGACCATTTTCAAAACACCTATTACATACTCAACAATAAGTTACAATGAACAGACGTGAAGGTGAATCAGTTTCCAATGCAACTTCTAAATGAGTTAATTATATGAACATAGCATCAACTTGGTAATTTTTTCCAAAAAGTTTTACTATGAAAATAATTAACATGCAAGTTTAGGAAGCAATACTAAATTCACCATTAGCAGTAAAGTTGAATACAAATTTTAAGTACATACAAGTATGTATAATCATTTACTTGGAGACTGTAATTCTGATTACAAAAGTGGTAATTCTAGAATTAAGGCTAATTAGACGTGCCTTTCTGCAGAAAAAACTGGATCAAACAAAACTGAAAATCTTAGCTTTCCCTTCAGTAACATGTCACTAATTCTTCCACTACAAACTTCATTTTATTTTTTAAAGATTTATTATTTATACATAAATGAGGTACAGGTTAGAGGTGGGGGTGGTGGTGAGAGTATTCAACAGAGACAGAGTGGGGGGCAGAACAGGCAGATAGATAAAGTACACTGCTAAGGGGAGCAGCTGGTGGGTCAGGAGAAGTCTGCCACGCTATATGAGTTACTTACCTGGCTAGAGATCGAATTGATGCTGCTAGTGTTGTGCTTTTAACCCATTCCACCACCAGGGAGGAAACCAAACTTCATTTTATAAGTTCAGTATTAAACAATGAATCCTATATTTCAGAACTGATATATAATTCCCCCACTGCATAATACAAGAAATAACATTAGTTTTATTTTTGTTTTCAGACCATCTCTAAAATAATAAAAGCACTGATGCTCTTACCAGCAACTTTGTAAACAATCCACTCTAGATTTCAATTTAGGATTAAGCTATGTCTGGTTAAATATTTGTAGCCTGGTTTGCTTGGTCTGAATGCTTCAATTATTTGTGAATTTGATTCTGAAAGAAAACAGCATTGTTTTCACTTAATTCATGAGGAATAAAAACCATCCAAGTCATGAGGTATGTGTAATCCATACTGACATGATCCTTCTTGCTGTCTCTTGTACTCTTGCTTCCACTGACAGGAATTTCATAATGTATTATAACTACCCTTATTATGGTCAGAATGCTGCAGAAATATTTAAGCATATTGATGTCATGCCAAACCACCTACAAAACATTTTGGCTCTCCTTCCTCCAACCTCTTCAACAAACTTGCTGAATGAAAGGGGTGGCAGCTATAGTCAAGACTTAATGTGAGTGGTCAAAAGCTGAAATACTTACTTTTAGAAAGAAAAAGGCACAGGATCATTAGTAAGAGGAAGGTTGTAATTTCTCACTTATAATTCAATTGCTATTTTGCATGTCAGTGGAAAAAGCTTACTCTATGCAGAGATATATCAAATTGTAGGAATTAGTTTTTAAAAAATTTATGTATGTATACAGAACTGTGGTATAAGCCAGAGTTGTAGGGGATGAGAGGATTCACCAGAGACAGAGTGGGGAGCAGAACAGACAGACTGATGTCAGTACACTAAAGTACACTGATGAGAGGAGCAGCGGAGAGACGAGAGGTCTGCCATGCTGTGTGGGTCACCCCCCTGGGCTGGGATCGAACTTGTGCTGCAGGGGCTTCGTACTGCTGTTCTTTACCTAGCTGTGCCACCAGGGCGGACCTTATATCAAACTGCAGGATTTAAAGGCCCAAAGCAAATTTGGTCTAAGATACTTTGCTGAGGTTCGGAATTTGCATCAAATCATAAAATCATTAAGGGAGAGAGTGCCAATCTCTCAGCTCAAGTCTGTGTGTTTATCACCTTGTAAGTATGACAAGATCACAATAACTTGACATGAATACAGCATACAGATAACGTCAGTGGTCTGGTTCTTTTTTAAGGGGCAAGACAGAAAAGTATAAATTATATACTCACATTTGACTGACATGTTAGAGTTGAAAATGACATCATAAAAAGTAGATGGTGCTGTCATGAGTAAGAAAGAAGTATATAAAGCAAAAGCTTAAAGAAATTGTCCAAGCTGTTTTTGCTCTGAGCTAATTTCCATGAATAGATACCTGACACGGAGATTTATTTTGTCATCGTGATTTTCACAGCAATCATAAAGAACATCTCAAGCAAGTCAGTGAATTTCAAAGTCTTATCAGCAGTTAACTATTAACTTTTAAAGTTCAGACAATAGACATGCATGTATTCCTGAAATCTAATGAAAGGTAACATTCCTTCTTGAAAGAACACTAAATATTTAACTCTCAATTTCACCTCAGCCTCTTACATCTGCCTTTTAAATCTTTAGTTTCCATCAAAGAAATCTCAGCAATCAAGGGGCAAATCATGGTCCCTGACTTTCTCCATGTATACTACATTGCTGGCTGCATTAGTATTCCAGGTACTGGGACCTTCATTCTTTAACTTCATGAAGGAACTATTATTTCTAAAATTTGTTACTGAATAGGTCAGTGAAGAACCACTTACTCTCCTTTTATTTTTTGAAAAAAAATTTTTAAAGGTTTATTATTTTAATTTTTTTTGGGATACAGAACTGGGGTATAGGCCAGAAGTGTGGGGAGGGTGTGTGAGAGTGTGAGAGAGAGATTTCACCAGAGACAGAGCGGGGAGCAGAATAGGCAGATGTACTGAAATACACTGCATAGGGGAGCAGCGGGTGGTACAGGAGAGATCTGCTGCGCCATATGGCTCACCTCCCTAGCAGGTAACTCCTACTGCAGTGGCTGAGGGAAGCTTCATAGTGCTGCACTTTAACCTGTTGTGCTATGAGGGAGGGCCTGTTTTTTGAAAGTTTCTAAAACTAAGAGTTACTTGAAAGAACATGAAGGTGAGATTGACTAAAATTAAGATATATTTTTTAGTATCCATTTTAAATGAGTATCTTTTGGAATAACCACATCAAAAAAAGCACTCCACCTTATTTTCATGATGTAGTGCATGGGGTTCAATAAAAATACCTATCCAGTATGTATTAATACATACTGCACTTAAGATATAGTATCTATCAGCTGAATAAAAATATTAAAAACAACAACAACAACAAAGGTATGTACAACAAACGGTAAACAATGACAGTAAATTGAAACCAAAACATCAAGTTGCTAAGTTATAGGGAAGCTGCAGTTCATCTGGATGTTTGCCCAGACAACAAAAATTTGGAGCAGAATTGCTAGTAGTTTAAAGGGAACAGGATTCTAAATTTGTTGCCTCATTCCTTTATCTGGACAGCTAATCTTGACCTTGCAGAAGCTTCCTCTGATAGTCTTTCTCCTGAAATGACATTAACACACTGAGAAATCCGACAAGGTTACACCAAGGCTCTTCTGTGGAAATCCACCATTAGAAGACAACGTCGAGATACTTAAAGATCAGAAATGTCATGTTCTTTAGTACCATAAACCCAAGAATCTGGCAAAGGAGACAATGAAACACTTTTTTAAAAATCTCTCAAAAACCTCTTACTGGAACTAAAGAGAGCAAAATTCTATGTACTCTCCCAAGCTTATGGTCCTTCCTATGAGAAAACGCATTCTTTTCTCCTTCAAAGACAGAGTTGCTTTAAGAACCACCACCTGCTCATGATGCATTTTTTTTCTCTTCAAGAAGGCATCTGCACTGCAGATCTCGGCGCGAGGGGCGCTTGCCAGCCAGCTCCCACCAGCAGGCAGAAGCTATACAATGGAAAACTAAAAGCGGCCTGCAGCTTCCCTTCTAGTCTTTTAGAGATGGGAGGAGAAAGGGGGTTCAACCAGCCACTGCTTTGTCTGAATGTTCTTCCCCCTCCCCCCTTTCTGCAGTAAACACCCCTTTTGTCACTCTGCAATCAATAACAGCCCACAGAAAGCATGAAATCAAAATATGTTGACGGCTTGGCAGGATTCTCCTTATTATCTTCTAGAATATAGACGACTGACTGCAGGCCCCCACCCCCACGCCGCGCCAGGCTGTGTTGCAGATGCAACCACGGATCCATCTTGGCCCACCAGCGGCTCCCTCCCAAATCTTCCCTGAGCCATTCTCATCACGCCTCGGGAAAACCGGGCGTTGATAACATCCAGCCACACAAAAAAATCGAAGGCAGGTACCAGTAAAATATAGGGCTAGAATGTTCCATCAAACTTGCGCATCCTCCCCATGAGCAAACTCCCCCTCCCCATGGACTTGGAAGACTCCCCAGAATGTCTGTGTCAACACCTGTCCACAAACCTGCAACGCCACTCTTCCACCACCGTGCCGTCAAACCCATCACAAACCGCGTCTCCCAAATCAACCTGCTCCAGTCCCCCTCAACCTTCCACTAGATCACTCCGGGTACGCGGATGGCTCCCCCCACTGGCGTTTCCCCCCACCTGGCCGTCTGGGCGTTAACGCCCACTCTGTAGACTAGCTCCCCGCCCCCAACCTGTTTTCATCACACCCCGTTATTTCCTCACCGGTTGCGCGACCTTACGCTCCCCTCCCCCTTAGCCCATTTACCAGACGCTCGTCCCCCGGGGCCGAAGCCTCCAGCTGGCGCCAGGGATTCCTCTTTCCCGACTCCTTCGTTGTCCCCCCCCCCCACCGCCCGAGGACGGGGGTCCCCGGCGAGCCTCACCCGCACAGGAGGAGCCGCAGCTCTTCGCCCCCAGGGCGGGGCAGGCGCCCGGACTCCCGCCGCCGGGCGCAGAGGGCTCGGCCCCGGAGGACGACGAGGAGACGGACGGGGACTGGGTGGCCGCCGACGGCTCTGCCATGGCTACGCGAGCAAGGACGGGAGAGGGGTGAAGAAAGATGCGGGGTGGGAGAGAGGGAGGGGAAAGAGAATAATCGGGCGGCTATAGCTCTCCGAAGTCGCTTCACACCTCCGGCTCAGAGGACAGACTCCGTCAGACTGACTGACTCAGCCAAGCGCAGCAAGAGGGCGGGAGCGCCAACGCGCAGGCGCACAAAGGGCCCCCGAGCGGGCAGCGGGGGCGGTGGCTGCTGCGTCTGGGCGCCCGGAGACGCAGGGCGCAGGCGCAGGAGCTGTCTCTTGGCGCGGCTGCAGGGAAGGAGGGGCAAAGCCCGACTCACGCGTCGCCCGGGCCCCTCCGGGAACCCGACGCGGGGCGGGGACCAGGCATCAGGCCCCGCCCACTACTGCGGCCCTTCCCCGAGGGCCCCGGGGGGCTGGTGTTTGTATGGTAATTCTTTCAGTGAATGTTTTAGGGTCGTGGGTAGATTGTGTAATTTAACCACAGGTTGCTTCGCTTTCCCCTTCTATTAGCTGGAGAATATCTTTCGCTTAAATACCGAAGCTGGTATCTTTTGTCTGATGCCTTTCCATCTGTGACTCCAGTGAAAGGTGAAAGCCATGGTGTGGTTTAGGCCTTCTCAGCAAGGAGCTCCATGAATACATCTGGATATGTCGTAGAATCTCATGAGACAGAGGTGGCACGGTCTCCCACTTGGTAGGTGGAGAAAGATGCTGGGCGAATGAAAAACCATTACTCATTCCAATCACATTGCAATGCAGTTACAGACCCTGCTTTGTATTCTTACCTCACTACTGTCCCTAGAGGGACCTTCAGCTTGGCCTGCAGGTCTTAAGTTTGGTCTTTCCTCGGAATAGGCCATCAGGTAGAGTAGACTTGTTAAGGGTTTACAGCTGAGCTGATGAGAAAAAGAGCCAGGAGGTAATGTCCTGGCAGTGGTTGTAGGGGATGGCAAAGTGAGTTAATTAAAAGTTTAGAATATGGCATAAAAGACACAGATTTGAATTTTAACTGTAGCCTACAAAAAGTCCTTAACTATCTGAAACTAGATATCTGAATAATTGGATTTTGTTCACTTTTTGCATTGGTTGGCTTGTGAAATTCAAAGCCGCCTCTCTGATCAAAATAATCGAAAGGTATATTCTTTAAAAAAGGGAACATAGCCTGGAAATTATAAAAGTCAAGGCAGTGGGCCTTGTTATTGCTAAAGCAGCAATCGATGAAGGACTATTGCAGTCTCAGCAGATCCTGGAAAGATGCAGTCTCCTGAAGTGGGAGGGAGTCAGCCTGGAGGCCACAGGGAGGATAGTGATCTGACTAGTGGTATTCTTCTAGAACAGACAGCGAACTACATCTGCCCTTGACAGTTTTTAAGGTCAGGTAAAACGCAGATAAGGGAAAAAAACCAAACAAAAAATCCAGCTCTTGGCCATCGTAACACTCTGAAAAAAGGCACAGAAGAATCTTTCCCAGAATAACTTGGCGCCAAATATCTTACCCTGGCACTTACAGCATTGTTGATAATGCAGCAAACTGTCCTTTAGATGACAAAGGGAATATATACAAGCCGATCTGACAACCAGGGTAGTTATATCCACTCATTCTGATAAAAGTATAAGATTTAAAGCTACATCATTAGGTGCTACATAAGGAAATGAACAATTGGTTGCTGCTCCTAACAATTTTTGCTAGGAACTTGAGAGCTTGGCTGAAAAGGATGCCCATTTCCATGATATCGAGACATTGAGAAAAGATCCTAAGAATCAATACACTGATGTGATTGTGGGGTTCTCTTGTGACCTTGTTGACACATGAGGCCTCTGTGCTAGGTTCAATTATCGAAGCTTTCCTTCCTGCTCTCTCTTGCTGTATCATCCCACTTCCCTGAGACTAACTGTGGCTTGGGATGTTATTTGTATATATCATTTATGCCACAAATGTTTACCTGCTGTGTGTATGACTCTATCCTGGGAAATTTGGAAGGGTTCAAAAAATGTCCTCTCCTCAGTAAGCTTACAAGCAAGTTGAGTTTAGGACATATTCACAGAAAGTTAAAAAATACAATTAAAAGGCAACTATAAACAATACAGAACTACAATGCTATGATTAGGAGGCAAGAGAATTATATGATTTAAGAAGGGGGGGACTCATCATGGAGATATAGTAGCTTAGGGAGGAAGGACAATGTTAGGAGTTTGGAGTGTTGAGGTCATTAGGACATGGGCAGCAGATGCTGGGGTTGCTTTTATGCAAGTATATAGACACCCTTTTAGACAGAGGAATCACAAAAAAATGTGCCTTCTTCCCAGCCTTGCTGCTGTGCACCTCAGTGCTGCTTGTCTAGCAAAAGTTTGGCTTCTTTGGCTTCCTCCAGCCCCTCTGCTCCCCAGGCTGCCTTCCTGCAACTCACAGTCTGCACAGCCATCTGTGGTGGCCACAGACTAAGAAAGGTGATAGTGTAAGGTGTGTTGGGTGTGGTTAGCTTAGGTTGACTAGAGCAGAGGCCTTGAATTAATTGGGTGGAGAAGGAGATAAAATGGGGAGAACAATAAAGCCAGGATGTGAGAAGCAATAATATAGCACTAAAGGGCTGAGACTTTTTTTTTTAAGATTTTATTTATTTATGCATACAGAACTGGGATACAGGTCAGAGGTGCAGTGGTGGTGAGAGGATTTACCAGAGACAGAGTGGGAAACAGAACAGCCAGGTTAACAAAATATACTGCTGAGGGGAGCAGTGGGCGAGGTAAGAGAGGTCTGTCTTGCCATGTGGGTCAGCTCCCTGGCCCGGGATCAAACTCTGTGCTCCAGTGGCTGCAGATAGCTTCATGGTGCTGTCTTTAACCTGTTGCACCACAAGGGAGGACCCTCATAGGTATATTTAAAAATATGTATACTAGAAAGTCTTTTTCTATATCTACCCCCACTTCATCTAACAGCCTCCCCTCAACATACACATTGATAATTAAATGATTTCTTTTTTAAAAAAGATTCTATTTATTTATGCCTACAGAACTGGGGTATAAAACAGCGGTTAGTGGGGTGTGTTCATATTGCTGCACTTTAACCAGGGAGGGCCCGGTCTTGAGTTTTTAATGTGTTACTCCGTTGAGGGTGGATCTGATATGTACCCTGTGACACATAAAACAAAATATAGGATTTCTCCCCTTAGCTGTAGTCACCATTGCTCTCCCACCACTAAAGCACCCATAGTCTTCCCCTATTGTCCACTGTACCCCTTTCCCTTGGATGCTGCAGATCTATGGACAGCTTTCAGGGTTGATTTTAATATCTGTCTTTGATTGACCTGCTCTTTGGTTTCTCAGTATTTCACAAATAAGTGTATCTCCTTTTGGCTAACTAATTGCACTTAGCACAGTCCTTTCCACCTCCATCCACAACTGGCATAATTTTTTTGATCACTGAGTAATATTCCATTGTGTATACGTACCACATCTTCTTGATCCACTCATCTGTTTCTTTCCTTTAAAAAAAATATTTATTGTGGGCCCTCCCTGGTGGCGCAGTGGGTTAAAGCACTGCACTGAGGAGCTTAAGCCACTTCCGCATGAATTTGATCCCCGCCTGCCCCGGAGGTGACCACATGGTGTGGCAGACCTCTCCTGATCCACCCGCTGCTCCCCTCAGCAGTGTACTTCATCAGTCTGCCTGTTCTGCTCCCCACTCTGTCCCTGGTGAATCCTCTTACCCTCTACATCTCTGGCCTGTACCCCAGTTCCATATGAATAAATAAATAAATCTCTAAAAAAATTTTATTGTATTTATTTATGCATACAAGAACGAGGATGTAGGCTATAGGTGTGGGAGGTGAGAGGATTCACCAGAGAGAATGTGGAGCAGAACAGGCATATCTACTGAAATATACTGCTGAGGGGAGCGGTGGGGGGGACAGGAGAGTTCTGCTGCACCATGTGGGTCAGCTTCATGGCTGGGGATTGAACTCTTGCTGCAGTGGTTGTAGAAAACTTCATAGTACTGAGATTTAACCCCTTGTACCATGTTTATTTTCTTTTTATAAATGAAAAAGTCATCTCCTCATTTTATACAAAAGCCAAGCAACAAAGATTGAATGATACCCAGGGATGCCAGTATTTCAATCTGTCCCTTCTTGAGGCCTAGACTTCTGCTTAAAATGGATCCTGTAGGTAGATGGTAAAAGAGAAGGTTCCACTGTGTCCCAGCACAGTCATGTGAGTGATAATTACTTTCTTGGCTTGATAATTATTCTCTTGACTGTGAGTCCCTAGAGACAGGAATGTACCTTAAATATTTTTTTTGTGCCTAGCACTGTGCCTAGCACATAACAAACATCCTATTTTTGTAAAGCTTTGGAACCTGAGTCACCAGTGCATGTCAGTATACCAGGAAACAACTTTGCTATTTTTGTACTTCATAAAATATATGAGTATCTTGAGTATTTACAATTTTGTTTTGCTTTTCCAGAATGAGTATGATGATTATCAATTTTTGAGCATTAACCATGCATCAGTCATTGTTGTCAAACACACTTCATTTAACCTACACCAACTCTGTGACTGGAATATTCAGATAATTTGGCAGATGATGAAATGTGTTCAAGAGGTTAAGTAACTCACCCAAGGTTGCATTGCTACTGAACATCAGAGCCAGAATTCAAAAATAGGTCAGTCTGACCCCAGAGCTAGTGGCTTGAACCTCTCAAACTTGTCTACACATTAGTTGCCTACTTCTGGAAATCTCAGCCTCTCATCTCACCCCATGACTCAATTTCGATGAGATGGGGAAGGCAGGCTATAGTCAGGATCATCAGCATTTAGAAGTTTGAATGTTCACTATTTTGATGGCCACGGATATTTGAAAGGGAAATAACTCCAACCAAAAAAACATGTTTTTTTGGTTTGGCAGGGTTGACTTTCTAAACTGTGACTAACCTTACAGCCTACAATTTATATGGTTTCTAAATGCCAAAAACCTCAACAAGGTATGGGGAAGGCTGATGTACTGATGTTCCCTTGATGTTATAATAAAACAGATGTCAGTACTTGCTGGTCATTTCCTGATTGGATGGATTTCGGTGGCTGTCTTTATTGGGAGCCCATATAATAGAACGGATGTAGGGGTTAAGTCTCAGCACTATCGGGCTATCAGCACCGCAGCCTGAGTTTGAGCCCCAGGGCACAGCAGACCTGTGCTGTCTTGCCTCTGTTCCCCTCACCAGTGTATTTCAGTAGATCTGCCTGTTCTGCTCCCCACTGTGTCTCTGGTGAATCCTCAACCCACACCCCGCACCCTAATCTACACTCCAGTTCTTTATGCATAAATAAATAAAATAGAGAATTTTGTTCAAAAGCACAAGTTAGGTATTCTATTTTAAAGTAATAAGAAAGTGAGCAAGCAGTGTTAGTTATAATATCTACAACCACAAGCAGTGTGAGGTACTGGGGATGTAGCAATGAACAAAAATTGATGAAAGCTTCTGTTCCTTACCACTTATAATACAGTGGTAAGAGGCAAAAAGAAAAGTAAAACACAACTCATATGGTAAGAGGGCTTATGGAAAATGATAATGTAAGAAGGGAAATAGAAAAGGATGGCTGTGCACCCTCCCTGGTGATACAGTAGGTTAAAGATCAGGTCTGCAGCCCAGTTGCAGCAGCTTCAGCGAGTTCAATCTCAGCCCTGGCCCTGGCGGCGATCCACATGGCACAGCAGACCTGTTCTGTCTCCTCAGTGCGGCTCCCCTCAGCAGTGTGCTTCATCCATCTGCCTGTTCTGCTCCCAACTCTGTCTCTAGTGAATCCTCTTATCACCCCTGCACCTCTGGCCTGTACCCCAGTTCTGTAGGTATAAATAAATAAATATAAAACAAACAAGCAAACGTTTGCCGCCTCCTCTCTCTAAGCATGAGCATAATAACTGCTTTTGTGTCACATCGTGTAGGTCCTGCCTTCCTACTGCCAGTGTAAAAACCCCAATAACCATTTGTGCTGATGGTCACATCTTTTCTTCCTCACCCAAGTACATTTAGACCTAAGCTCCATTCTTTCAATCTAAAGGAGGGTATTTAAATAATATTGAGAGTTGGGGTCTGGGGAGGGGTATGGAGGAGGACAGGGTGGGAATCAAAAGGGGTAGAGGTAGAGAAATCAAAACAAGCTCCTTAGGTAAGATAAGGTAGAATGATTGTTACCTTTTTACCTTTGGCCTAATCATTTGGGAAGTAAAAAATAGCTCAAAGGCTTGGCAGGGCCTAGAGGTAGCTTGCAAGAGGTTCTGGGAAGGAAGGTTACAATAGCTAAGGCAGAGACAGAAGAAAATGGAATAATTTTGGTTTTCCCCAAAGAAAAAGTTAGGTACTTAACATTAAAGGAGCAAGAAAGTGAGTTGAATGAAGGAGGCAACGTGATGCCAAGAGGTGGTGGTGTAACTGGGTGGTCCCTAGGAGAAGGGAAGTTCCAGGTTCCCTGCCCCACCCAGAAGGAGGGTGGAGCTGAGCAGAGAAAAAAGGAAAAAGGAGAAGAGAGAAGGAAGCCAGATGGAGAAAAAGACGGAGACCTAAGGAAGCCACATGGAGCAGCAAGCATGTGATGAAGAAACCGGGCTTGTTTCCTGACCCTGGACTGGTTAAGGCAGATGTGGGTGAGAGACCTGTAGGGAGGTGACCATGGCAGTGCTTATATTGATTTTGATTTTGCTCTTTTCCTCCCAGATTTGTCTGTCCATTTCTGACCCTTTTCCATGGGTCCTGGCCAGAAGGTGCTTTAGTCTTGTGGCAGGCTTTCAGGCCTTGCTTTGGGCCAATCCCTTTTGGGTTGACTTTTGCCCACGAGGGGATGGGTAACTTCAGGTGTTTGATTTACAAGTTATATTCTTTGTGTTCCGTATTGTATATTCACTGTATTAAAGTCACTTTTCATTAAAGCTTTATATGTTTTGTCTTGTTGCGACGGATGGCAGAACCCACTTAGAGCAGGCAGGTTTTGGGGCTTCAGGGGTGTCCCTCTCCCCCTGTCCTCTAACAGAATTGAGGTGCTCTATAACAGTGGCAGTTTATGGCTACTTTAGCCTCCCATGTTCCAGCAGTTTCTTTCCACCCCTCCTTCAGAATACTGTTCTCCCACTATAAACCCCAAAACTCCCCCAATATCTTCATTTGTGGCAATTGACATTTTCTCATCACATGTTAAGTATGAATATAAGCATTTTCAGAGAACCCTGTTTTGTTTTGATCTACCTTACAGACTAAGTACGAGTGTGCTCGCAAAAAGCAGCTTCAAAACAGGCTTCTGAGGCCGTGTCTGGACAAAGCCAATGAAAGGCATTTTTTTAGAGATTAATTTATTTATGCATACAAAACTGGGGTACAGGCCAGAGGTGCAGGGGCCGTGAGAGGATTCACCAGAGACATAGGGGGGAGCAGAACAGGCGTATTGATGAAGTATACTGCTGAGGGGAACAGCTGCACTATGTGGATCGCCTCCGGGGTGGGGATCGAACTCGCAGGAAATGGCCCGGCCAGTTTCTCTCACTGTAAGTTCTTACTTTTAAGACATGAAAGTGATGATGGCGCACTGTCGGACTCGGCTAGGGACAGAAACACAGGGCAAAACTGAGGATGCTGGTAATGAAATCAAGATCGATTTAAAAAACAGTGATGTTTCTGTCACTCAGGAATGAGGCCCCGCCCCCCACTCCTCAGCGTTAAAGAAGAAGTCGTTTCAACGTGGCCAGTGGGGATCGAAGACAGTTATCTCAAGGCCTCTAGCCACGTCCGGTGTCCACGCCGGGCGCCGGGCACCAGGCGGGGTAGCAGGCGGTCCCAGCCTGGGCACCCCCACTCTGCTCCCCGCAAGGCCTGCTGGGAGTTGTAGTTCAGTTGGCGCGCCAGGTGGGACGCTCAGGCGGACTCCGCCCAGTCCTAGCCTTCTCCTGTCCGCACGGCTTGCTGGGAGTTGTAGTTCAGTCGTTGAAGAGGCGCGCCAAATTTTGGGCCTCTTTCCTGCTTCCTTCCAGCCCCGGATGAGGCTGCAAAAATAGACACCTCAAGCTGGGGAAACCCGGAGCGCGTGGGACTCCAGTTCCCAAAGGGTCGTCGTCTCCAGGGCCCGGCCCAGGTGGCCGGCGGCGCGCCTCGCGCCCCCGCGCACGCGCATACGCTTCGGGCGGTGGCGGGATTCGGCCGCGTGCGCTTTCCCGCGCCTGCAGTCCAGCGCGGCAGCGTCTCTGGCCGCCCGACGGCCTCGCAGACGCGCGGGGCGCTCGCTCCCTGGCGGCTTCGCGCGCCCCTCCTCCGCTTTAGTTTCTTCTAGAGCCCAGGCCCCGCCCGTTGCCCGCCTCCAGGGCCTGGTTCGTTCCCGCCCCTGCCCGCTCCTGCCCGCCCCTCTCTGCTCCCTGCTGCTTCTGCTGAAGGCGGAGGCTCCATGTTGTCCCCTCAGCGAGCGGTAGCGGCGCCCTCGGGAGGTGCAGGTGAGGCGCCCCACTCCCCCCGGACCAGCCGCGGGCCGCCCCGCACCCTCCCTGCTGTGGCTTCGTGGGCGTCGCCCGTGCCTCTGCCCCTCAGTCCCGGGGCTGGGGCCGCGCTCGCTTCTCCGAGGCCCGTCGGCC